AGAGGTTTTTAAGGCCCGGCTTGAGAAAGCCCTGGCTGGGATGATTTAGTTGGTGTTGGTCCTGCTTTGAGTAGGGGTTGGACTAGATGACCTCCTGAGGTCCCTTCCAACCCTGATCTTCTATGATTCTATGACTGACAAGATCCAAAACAAGGCCTGGTGCCACAGGTTAGTTATTTCCTCCTCTGCTGTTGTGGCATATCGTCCCTCACCCCCCAGAAGGAGCTGGCTCCAGACTTTCCCTGCACCAGTTCCATTCCTTTACCCTTGTCTTCACCCGGCTCCCCTTCAGCATCCTCACCAGTCTCTCGCTCATCATTAGCGCCAACGAGAGACAGAGAGGCAGGCAGACGCAGAGGTGATGCAGCAGCCAGCCAGCCCTTGAATGAGGGCAGCAGCACTGCACTGTCTAGGGGAATGGTCCCAGACATAGGGCTGCCAGGGGAGCTGTCACTCACACCATAAATTAAGGCCAAGATTTATCAAAAATGGGAGTCTAAAATTAGGTTCCTAAATCCATATTTAGGCACCTCAATAAGTGACCTGGATTCGAAGTGCTGGTTGCCTGCAACTGCTGCCGATTCAGTGGGAGCTGCCAGGCGCTTAGCTCTTGTGGTGATCAGGCCACTTATTCAAATGCCTAGAGATGGGTTTGAAAGTCTCACTCTAGGCTTCTGCTTTTTTCAGTGGTGAGTATCTAGCCCCCAAAGGGTGCTGGGTGGCACCCCCTGGTCCCCGCCCCAAACAGCTCCATGGCAGGGCTGGGGGAGGCAGGGCAAGGGCAAAGCAATAACTTGCAAGTCCCCCTTCCCTCACCTCTTTGCACTCCGAGTCCTGGGCTCTGGGGTCCAGCATCTCGATGCGCTCCTCACCCATCAGGGGCACGCACGTGTCGGCCGTGTGGTTGTGGTTGTGATGGTGGTTCCCCACTATCGAATTCATACTGGAGCTGGAGTGGTTTCGGGGGAAGAACCCCTCCTTCTCATCATTGGGGTGGCTGGAAAGGACACCAGCAGCTTTCAAAAGTGCGAGTGGGAGTCAATGGGACAGTCGCTGCCCTTCGGCGTCCTTTCAAAAGCAGGAGGCTGGGACACTCCCGCAGCAGCTTCATGGGCTGCACTCAGCTGGCACTTGCAGTTTGGGAAGCCCAATACTGAGCAGGCACGAATAATTCATCCCCACAACCCAGCTGTGGCTGGGCAGGAGACGTGTGAATTCCCCACTCAGAGATTCCTCTCGTCTAGATAGGGCCCAGGCCCACTGGGGGAGCAGGTGGTGCTGGGAGACACCAGCCTGGATCCAAATGAACACAGGGACTGAACTCCTCTGAATGCAGTTAATGGCACTTGGCTAGGGCAGGGCACTTGTGCCCTACACTCCCTTTGCAAGAACCAAGAATAAAGCAACTGATCTCTGATCTGCTCCAATCACTTCGGGACGCTCCTCTCTGCTCGCTCCACCCCACACCCCCCTCACTGCCCCGCTAGAGCCCTTATACCTCATCATCATCTTGGCCCCACAGTCTCCACCTTGCTTTCCCTTAGGGACCGTTTCCTCACCACGGGCACAGGCCTTGTCTCTGTTCACTCTCCTGCCTCCCTTCCCTCTCTATTTGCCTTCCCCTGGCGACCTCTCAGGAGTCCCATCCCGAGGGCCCTTCGCTAGCTCTTCCATTGCCTCCCCTGAGGCTCTGCTCCCCTCCCAATTCCCCCACCCCACACCGCGGCCCTGCTCACTCTGCCCCAGGCTATGACACCCCCAGTCCCTCTCCCCCTCAGCATGGCCCTGCTTCCCTTGTACCCCCAGCTGTGACTCCTCCCTGCTCCCCCTCTGCCCCCAGGCTCTGATCTCTCCCTGCTCCCTTCATCTGCCCCCAGGCTCTGATCTCTCCCTGCTCCCCCTCAGCATGGCCCTGCTCTAATGAACACTTCCTGTCTTCCCCTCCATCACTCCCTCAGAGGCTCTGGTTCCTCCACTTCATCATCCGCCATCAGGGCCAGGCCCTATTCTGAATTCAGGTTGTGTACTCCACCCCTTCCCTTTCTGTTCCCTCCACTGCCCCGGCTCCCTGAGCCTCTCGCCTCTGGTCCTGCTTCCATCTCTGCACCTCGAGTTTCTCCATCACTCCTGCATCCCCTCCTCACACCCCGCTGCCCCCTCACGCAGTCCCCAGCTCCTGACCGCCTACCTGTGCTTGAGCAGAAGGGCACGCAGCACGTTGGCTCTGTCCTCCCCTTTGATCTGGTCGGAGATAATCATGGTCTCCACCACGAGGTGAGCGATGCCAGGAAGGGTGGTTTGCTCCAGGTCCAGCAACACAGCACCTGGGCGAGGGAGGGGGAGACAGCTGGTCAGGGTGCCCACCTCCAGCATCCCCACAGACCCCCCCCAGATACTAGTGTTGCCAGCTGGGAGAGAGCAAGCACCAGCACTGCCTTTAGGCAGGGATCAATGAGGCCACGGGGCCTGGCACTTCCCCTATGTCCAGTCAAACACACGCCAGCATCAGCCACCTTCTCACACTCCCCCACCCCCCGCATGTGCCTCTGCCCCTCACCACCGTTCACCCACATCGCACGCTCAGGGTTTGTCTGCACTGCAGTCAGAGGGCAGACTGCAGCGCTGCAGACATACCCAGGCTAGCTTTGAGCTACCTAGCCTGAAGAACAATTGCAGCGAAGCAATGGCACTGCAGGCTGTGTGTACCTGGGTACGTATGCGAGCGGCTAGCCAGAGTGCCCACGGCTTTGCTGCTGTTGTAACCGGAGCTAGCTAGATGTGCACCACACAGCCCTCACCCCCACACCGTTCTCCCCTCGCACTCACATCACCCATCACCACACCGTTCTCCCCTCGCACTCACACGTGTGCACTGCTCACCCCCACCACGTACACACTCGACTGACCCCTCACACTCATTGTAACGGGAGGGCTTGCCCCATGGGCTGGACTAAGCCAGCCCTGACTACCGGATGATCCCCCTGAGAGCAGTCAGATAACTCCAGTACAAAGGGAGAAGGAAGTGGCAGGGGACAGGAAAGCCCAAGAAACTGCAGTTATGTCTGTAGACCCTGAAGAACCCTGAGTCAGCACTGCAAAGGCTTGTGGAGAAGGCCAAACTCCAGGCAGGAGGTGCTGGGAAGCAGAAAGACGGTCCTCAGAGAGGTGGGGCTGGGATGAAGACTGTCAGTTCATGTTCTGTTTTTCTGAGACTGTGTGTTATTTTGGATTCTCGGGAGACAGAGACCGAACTGGAGTTGGGGGCTAGAGGTCAGCATGCACTTGAGGGGACTGGACCCCAGGAGGGGGTTGTTTGAACTACCTGTAACACACTCACTCTGGTCACCCCTCACACTCATGCCCAGGCACCAGACACCCTAACACTCTCATACACCCGTGCCACTCACCCCCTCACCCATCAGTCACTCCTCCCGCACACTCATCCACACGCTTCCATTCAACTGCAACTCGCTGGTGGACGAGCTATACAGGAGCTGCTAGCGTGTCACACAGACCCCTCAGGCCTTTGCCCAGATGGGGGGTGGGAGGGATAGCTCAATGGTTTGAGCATTGGCCTGCTAAACCCAGGGTTGAGAGTTCAATCCTTGAGGGGCCACTTGGGGATCTGGGGCAAAATCAGTACTTGGTCCTGCTAGTGAAGGCAGGGGGCTGGACTTGATGACCTTTCAAGGTCTCTTCCAGTTCTAGGAGATGGGATATCTCCATTAATTTAAAAAAATAATTAAATTAAACATTATGGGGCTTCATGCAGCCTTCAGGGCTTGCTCCCATGATCCTCTGTCATTACTAAGGATAAGATTGTGTCACATGGATTCTGTGACTTTGAGAGACCTCTGAGACATTTTCTGCTACAACTTCAGCCCCATGTCCTGGGGTGGGAGTGGCCCCGCAGCACCGAGCCACCAGTGGGCAGCAGGGACTGGAGCTGTTAGTCCCCCTCCATTATTTTTAGTAAAAGTCACAGACAGGTCACGGGCTTCTGTGAATTTTTGTTTATTGCCCACGACCTTCCTGGGACCTTTACTAAAAATAACTGTGACAAAACCTTAACCTTAGTCATTAGTTTCTGTTCCTGACTCAGAGGTGGTAGCTGTGAAGTGCCATCTCTGCATCTCTCTCCATCGCCCAGGGTTGGACACAGCTTCCTCATCACTTGGGGATTTTGAGTCTGGGACCATCCCCAGCAAATTAAGGAAAGCTCTTTCCCTTTTTCTGGGCCCAGGAGTCAATGTGGGTGTCTGTCCCTGTCTCTCCTCTGCCCTGCTGGCTGCCCAGTTGCCCTCTCTGGGCTTGGTCAGGGCTTTGTGTCTCCTGGTTTCCCTCTGCACAGAGAGTCTGTATCGGGGGAGAGTCGGTGTAGTTCTGCCCAGACCCGTCTGTCACTGGTTTGGATTTGTGCGTCCCAGTCACTCCGCGACTGGGGTTTCCTGACAGGGTCTAGCAGCTTGAGCATTGTTCACTTTGCCCAGGGAGCAAACTGCCCTGCCCCTGGAGTCAGGGCTGCTGCCCTTGGGGACCCAGGCTGGAGGAATGGGCCATGCTTGCATTTGGGGTTAGCTGCTGACCCACTTGTGCTTTGTGGTGGGGGGCTGTGACAAGGTGCTGATTAGAAAGAGTGCAGAATCAGCCCCCTGCCACGCCAGCCCCATTATAAAGGGGCTGGCTGGAAAGAGCCTGCCCTAACTGGGGAATGAGAGCCAGCTGCCAGCCCAATCAGCCCAGGGATATAGAAGAGGCTGGGAAGAAGGCGGCGGGGTGGTGGGATGGAGGAGAGTGAGGGAGTGCAGGCAGACAGGGAGAAAGTCCTTCCCCCCTGGGTTCAGACACAAGGAACCCAGAGCTGTATAAGCTGTATGGTGAGAAGCTGGTGGGAGCACAAACTTGTAAATAAAAGCACCAGTAGTTTCAGACCCAGAGGGTCTCAGAGTGACTTTATCTGAGCCTTGCAGAGGGAAGAGCCAGGAGGGCCAGCTGCGCTCTGTTACGGGGCGAAGCAGGCGTTTGCTGCACTGGCTGAGGTGGCAGCAGGAGTGTTCTGTTGTGGGTGTCAATGAGTAGGGGGAACTGGCAGGTCCTGCTTGGCTGCTGTTGGGGGTGAAGTTCCCATGTGCAGAGGGTTTGTCTGCAGCACTGCAGCTGGATCACAGCACTGAAGAGTTTTAGAAACAGTGTATTGGGAGGCTATGTTGCTAGTCGTTTCTTTCAGGCCTAGAAAACCTGAGAAGCGTTTTATTGCCATACTTTTACAGTCTGTCTGAAGTTCCCCTCATGTTATTCTGAAGCACGGGCCTGTATCATTTCAGACGTGTTCAGACTCGTGTTTCTGCAGTAACATTTTAGTTTGTTTTGGGGCTTTTTCTGAATACCCTGACGTGTGTCTCCCAGAACGACCTCCAGGGTCCTGGTACTGTGGGAGGGTTCTAGCAGGTGCATGTTTCTGTGGAGATACTCTTGTACAGAACATTTAAATCCAATACACCTAAAGAACGCCTCTCCTGGGTGGGTAGAGGCCTCTCCAACTTGCTCTCCCACATAGTCTGGATGCTAGGAACAGCGCAGTCTTCCTCTTCCCAGACTATAGAAATAAATTCAGCTCAGACCTTCTCCATCGGCAAGGCTGGTCCTAGGGCTCCTCCCTCAGGATTGTTCAGCCCATTTCCCCAGTCCTCTCTGTGCAGAGGCAGAGTATCACCTCACCCTGCCTGCCTACCCCCTTTCGGGCAGGATGAAGTGCCATCCTGTTACATCTGGGCTCTGGGTACCTTTCATTACAAGATACAATACAAAGTCATGTCAGTGCTAAAAGAGCAGCATATTTGCCACTCTTGCCCCAACACAAACGCACTGAGCCCCAGGCAGCCAATATGGCCCACAGCAGTCTCCCAGCCCCATTGCTCCAATAACCCACCCCCACCCCCTGCCCAAATGCTTGCTCACGCAGGGGCTGCCAGCTGACTCAGACTGTTCCAGACCAGGGGCAGCGAGTTCCAAAGTCAATAGCTTCACCCAGAGAATGCCCTGCCAGCAGCCCCCGCTCTTTCCTACGGAGGGGGCCCTGGCTTGGGCGCCACTGTGAGCGTGTGGACCAGGGGAAGAGGTGTCGCCCTGGTAGGAGGCTCCCAGGCCATTCCGGGCTTTAGAGAATGTGATTCATTTCAACAAAACACCTCCGACCAGCAGCTCACAACCGCACAGCTCTTGGCAATGGTGTGTCCTGTTTCACGAATTCCCATCTAGGTTGCACAGTCTCCTGCCTAGAGAGGACATGAATTTCTTATGGAAAAGACAAACTTTAACACACAAAACCCCTTTGGTCTCTTTATTGGCCCAACGCGCAGGCCCTGACACAGGGTGCGCGTTCCAGCCAGTGCTTGGAGTCAGCAGTCATGTCTGATAAGACATGGGGCCTGGCACACCAGAGGGGGACCCTGACACCCATGCCAGAGCCTGATCACACAGGCCATAGGAGCCTCTCTCACTTCCTTAGTTTTCCTTAAAAGAACCTGGGTTGAGACACTGTTGAAGTGTCTATTAAGGAGACAGAACCCATGAATAGCAGCTGCCCTACAAATGTCTCCCCCATGGTGAGGCCCAAATTCACCTGGGCAGTTCTCCTGTCCTCTCTCTGCAGGAGCCCATCGGTCATGCAAAGGCTGCTGAGACTCACCGTGAGCAATGGTCTTCCTGAGCTCCAACAGGCTGCGGAAGGATAGTGAGGCTACGTGAGGCTTCCCCCACCGTGCTGTGTCCTCCTCCACGTCCTCCTCAAACTTGATCCAGCGCGCTGTCTCCTTCCAGTGCATCTCCTGGTTCTTATCTATGACCAGCTCGTTCAGCTCCACAAACACCTGCCACCCGGGGTTAAAGCAAAAACATTCAACTCAACAGCAGCGGGGAACCTCCTCAGCAATACCGGCTCCACAAGCGATATCACCTTGTCCTCACCTCACTCCACCAGCTGAGCAGAGAACACTGGGCCAAAGGACTCTGCTAACTGGCCCAGGCGCAGGACACCTAAAGGAATGGGGAGCAATGGTGTCCTCTCTCACTCGTTAACGTACGAAAGGTTTGGTGTCAGAAGTGGTTAGAACAAATATCCCAGGGACAGCTGGCAGGAGTCCCCAGCAATGCACAACACCAGAGCATACCGCGCCCATTCTTTCACATATGCCACTCCAGAGCACACAGTGACCCTGGAGGGACGGTTCTACCCTGCAGCTCTCATTGTCTCTAGTGTGAAGATTTTGCCTCTCTCACCAATCACTGGCCAAGACAAGAGAGATTCCCCCCTGCCCAAGAGACCTCCCATCCTGTCACTGCTCTCAGCAGGGTGGTGCCATTACTGTGCTGCCAACTCCCCTGATTTTATTGCAATTATCAGGATATTTGATGTGTTTCTTAAAACCAGACCTTTTGAAGGGATATGATTTTTGTAAGAATCTCTGCTTTCATTTTAAAAAGTAAGTTTCTAGCCATCCTGGCTGTGGAGAAAAGATTGAAAATCTGAAGCCTAAGACCAGAAGGCAGAAAGCAAACAATCAGAACCCCACATTTACTACTTTTAAAATCTTGTTATTTCTAAGCCCATCTCCTGCTTTTGGGGGCCTGACGTGATTTGTGGCCACCCGGAGAGGGTGTGGCTTGTATACCTCATGAGGACGCCTGTCCAGCTTCTTTTTCTTCTTCTTCTTCTTGATAGATGGGGTTGACACCATCTTCCTGCTGGTTCTGGTGCTCTGGCTCCTAGATGGTTTCTTCACCAGATGCCGCCTCACACCAGGGTTATCTTCAAAGCGGTGGCCTGGAGACAAAGCAAGCAAGGAAAGATGGATGGTGTGTTTAGTGGAAATGTGCTGGCAGGCAGGCAAACACACAGGTGTCTCAGCAGCTCCTGCTAGCATTCCCATTGCAGCTGGAGCGCTCACACTCCAGCGAGGCAAGTTCTTGTAGCCCCCAGTATCTGGCTGTTTCTAACATTTGAGAACAATCACCCGCTGGGATGACGCTTTCCAAGCTGCACTCTGCTGAGCATGAATTTGTCAATATAAAGTCAAGTAAAATGGTTATCCCATTTCTGAGAAGGAGGTGAGTGACGAAATTCCACATGCACTTCCCAGGAGTAGCAAGGTCCTGGACCCTTCTGGGCCAGCTCCAGCACCACAGCATGGGGGAATGCAATGCTACAATCTGACAGGGAAACGGCCCTGAGTGAGAAGTGCCTTTGAATGCCCAGGGACTGCCAGGCACTAACAGTGGCTCCAGGAACAGCCTCGCAGGGAGACGATGCCTAGGGCTGGGTAAGAAGCCCTCAGTGGGAGAGTATTTTTGTGCTCCATTTTAATGTTCCTCTGCTCTCTGTGAGCAAGAGACAAACCTCACCCAGGAAAGGGGCTCTCCTGGCTGAGTCTGTGGGGTTTTTGCTGTAACATGGTGAGAATTAGGCCTGATTAGGCTCTGCTGGGAGAGTCTGAAGATCAGATTGTGTGTCCTTGCAGAGCTTGGGGTTCTTTTTTTAAAGCCGTTTCCGTCAATGCTCCACATGCAGGAAGGCCATGCTACGTGTGACTGTGGCTAACTCCGCCGTGTAGCATGGAGGGGAGAGATTCCTCAGCCACTGCCAGTGACACGTGGAAGTATCTATGGCTGCAGAAAACACTGGATGACATGTTGTGTTACATGATCATGCAGTGAAAAGCTGCAGTGTAATAATGCAAACACACAAGGGGCTAGAGTGAAGGCTGCACAATTAACTCTAGCAATCCCTGACTTCCAAGGGATCAGTCATGCAGCTTTCATGATCTCTTCCAGTTCTGACTTGCAGCGTCCAGCTGGCTGACTCAAAGACACCTGAACAGCAAGGCTGCATTACAGGTTGACCACTGCATGCTGTCAGTGCTAGCTGTTACATCTACTTCAGATCTGGCTCCTGCAGTGCTGGCAGCATTAGCAATACCAGAGAAAAGGGACAGCGGACATAAACCCCCATGCAACAGGCCTGAACAGCGACTGTCCTTCTGACTGCATTGGTGCTGTGACAACAGCGTGCTGTGGAGGGGTGAAGCTCCCCTGCGAGGCGGAGAAGCTGAAGCTTCCTTGGAGAACGCCGATGAAAGAGGGCAATGAAATTCTGGGCTTTGTTACAGGGTGATGAGCCGCAGTGAAAGGGGGATTAGGTTAGTCAGGGAGCCCTCCAGTCCACTGTTTCCCATTAGGTGGGGGTCTGTGGAGCCTCCCCAGGCCTGCCTGCAGGGGAAGCCAAGATCTGTTCCCCCTGAGAGGCTCATCAGGGAAGGAGAGTCACCTTGCCTGGGGGGCTCCAAGTCTCTCAGGATAGCCCCGTCCTGCCCGGGATGAAGGGCAGCATCTGCGCGCTGTCCTCTTTCAGCTGGGCCTCAAGAACTTTGACCTTCAGAATGTGAAAAGCACCAGACTTCAAAGCAAAGCAATGCCCCCACTGGCGCTGCAGCACCTCAGCCACGGTTTGCGGCGCTATGCCCCTGTACCCACGGGAATGTGGGCCCCTTCCAGCCACGGGAAGGAGGTCTCCAGCGCCAGGACAGCCACACCACAGCCTCGCTCCTCAGGAATCTGGGTCACTACGTTAAAGATAGAATAGATCCATACTGAGCCTGTGGGGATTTTCCCCATTGGCTGCGCGGCTGATGTGAGTCCTGCTGACAGTTGGACTCCTCCATGTTCCATTACTGGAATATCAATGGAAGCCAATAACTGCCCATCGACGCCAGCGAGCTGCTGCTGGTGTTCTGGGAGCTGCACTGCACGGGGGCCGCATGTTCTCTCTGCATTCATGTGCATGCACACAGATTTCACTATTTGTATGGTGTGTGTCCGGGACAGAACGGGGTGTCCTTGTGCATTACTGTGCTTTATGAATGTGGATGTGATGCGATGCGAATGTATGTGAAAAGAAGCGTGTGGCTGGTGTGTGAGTGCAATGAGCGTGTGTGATCTGTATGAGGTGAGGGCACAAGATGTGAATACACCTTTTAACACTATGTTCACGAGGCACATACCAAACTGACTTGTTGATGTATACATTTCTACGTCTCCATCCTTGGAGAATTTGAGCGTCATTTAATCTCACAACACACCCATGACGTAGGGAAAGGTTATTTATCCCCATGCTACATGCAGGAGCGCCGCCAGCTTTTCTGCCGCCCCAGGCGGCGGAAGGTCCCGCCCCAAAATGCCACCGCCCCACAGAGGCGGCGGAAGGTCCCGCCACAGAAATACCGCCGCGGTCGCCGCCCCCCAAATTGCAGCGCCCTAGGCAACCGTCTAGGTCGCCTAATGGGTTGCGCCAGCCCTGGCTACAGGTGGCAACAGGGGCCCAACAAGCCTGAGGTCACACAGTGAGTCTCCCAATGGGAAACCCCAATCCAATAGCAGGGGCAGCATTCTGCACTGGTCACCTGAGGAACAGCCCCAGGCATCATTCCCTTGAGGGGCTAGGATCCTGGAAAGCCACAGCGAGGCCCTGCCTGTGAAACTGAAGAGGCCAAGCCTCTCACTAGCCCCTCTAGTGGCCTCTTGTAGTCGGTGAATACGAAGGGGCAGACGATGGAGCTTGGCAGGCTCTGCATGAGGGCGCTCAGGGCAGGTGAGCAATTCCCTATAAATACTGCCTGCTGGGATCTCTTTGGAAGAAAGCATTGGAACCTCTCAGACACCTCCACTACCTCTGCTAGGAGCGGTGGATCCCTTGGTCACCATGATGGAAGGCAGCTGATAGAGCTAAAGGACTTAGCATGCAAAGATGGGCCTACATCCTCCAAAACCAGCCACGGGTTTGGGTATCTCAGTAAGGGACCCAGCCTGAGGCACCTCAGGCCCAGTTTTTCAGAAGGGATCCCAGTGGCTTCAGTTGGAGTTCTGGGTGCTCCGCTCATCCACAAATCAAGCTCAAGGTATCTGAAGTTCAGCACCTAAAATCAGAGGTCACTGTTGTAACTCTGGCCCTTGTTCTGAGTCAGCAGCAGGAGACTATTGGCTAAGGCTTGTCTAAACAGAGGCCTACTGCGTGACAAGCCTGGTGTGCTCTAAGTCACTGTGTGAACCCTGCAACCACACACTAAAAGTTCTCTCGTGCAGGGGCTCTCAAACTTTTTCTTTCTGAGCCTCCCTCCCCCCCCACATGCTATAAAAACTCCATGGCCACCTGTTCCACAGTAACTGGTTTTCTGCATCTAAAAGCCATGGCTGGCGTTAAGGGGTAGCAAGCAGGGCAGTTGCCCAAGGCCCCGTGCCACAGGGGGCTCTGTGAAGCTAAGTTGCTCAGCCTTCTGCTTCAGCCCCAGGTGGTGGGGCTCAGGGGCCCAACACTTCACCCCCATGCAGTGGGACTTCAGCTTTCTGCCCTGGGCTCCAGCAAGTCTAACACTGGCCCTGCTTGGCAGACCCCCTGGAACCTGCTCGTGGCCCCCCAGGGGATCCCAGACCCCTGGTTGAGAACCACTGCTCTAGTGCACTGACGTCCTGCTGCTACAACCTATGGAACTTTAGTGTGCAGTAACAAGGTCCACGTGGCCAGTTAATGTGTGGCTTGCTAGTGCCCTGTAGGCTTTCATCCCGGCTTGCTGAGCACTGCGTTTCTGTGTAGACTCGGCACAGTCGTCTGCCCCACCCTGGCCTAAAGCCAACCCGAGTGGAGTAAAAAGAAACATCTCAGGACACCAGAGACTGCGGTAGTTGCCTTATCACTACCTTTTTGTGATTGTGCCAGGAGCGAAGTGTGAGACAGGATGATAACTGGTGAGATAGAAGCTGGGAATGGGCGAGAGGGGATGGATCACTTGATGATTGCCTGTTCTATTCATTCCCTCTGAAGTACCTGGCATTGTCCACTGTCGGAAGACGGATACTGGGCTAGATGGACCATTGGTTTGACCCAGTATGGCCGTTCTCATGTTCAATTTCCAAACACAGTTTATTGATCAAAGGTCTAATGATTGGTACATGTCCCTCCCAAAGGAAGTCATCAAGAGTCTCCTCCACTAAGAGACTCAGCAGGTTCCCCCCAGCCTTCACCAGCCAAGGAGCACCTGTGCCGGACAGTCAAGCCATGGCCCAAAGCTCCCTAGCACCTCAAGAACCTTAGCTTACAGCTGACACAAAGATTGGGGAAGGGTAGATAATGCAGAGGACAGGTCAGTGATACAGAGTGATCTGGTGCACTTGGCGAGTGGGGTGCAAGCAAACAATACTTGTTTTAATATGGCTAAATATAAGTGTATCTATCTAGGAACAAAGACTGTAGGCCGCACTTACAGGAAGGGGGGAAACTTTATGCTGGCAAGCAGGGACTCTGAAAAAGGCATGTGGATAATCCGCAGAACATGATCCGTCAGTGTGACACTGTGTGACACTGTGGCCAAAAGCGCTAATGAAATTCTCCTGCTTATGGATCCAAGCATTACAAGTAGGAGCAGGGAGGTTATTTTACCTCTGTATTTGGCACTGGTGTGGCCACTGTGGAAATACTGTGCCCAGTTCTGGTGTCCACAATTCAAGGAGGATGTTGATATATTGGAGAGGGTTCAGAGAAGAACCTCGAGAATGATTAAAGGATTGGAAAACTTGCCTTATAGTGACAGACGCAAGGAGCTCAATATATTTAGCTTAACAAAGAGAAGGTTAAGGAGTGACTTGATCATCGCCAATAAGCACCTACACGAGGAACAAATATTTGATAATGGGCTCTTCAGTTTAGCAGAGAAAGATCTGACATGATCTAACGGCTGGAAGAAGCAGCTAGACAAATTCAGACAGGAAATAAGGTGTACATTTTTAGCTGTGAGAATAATTAACCCTTGGAATAATTTACCCAGCGTCGTGATGAATTCTCCATCACTGACTATTTTTAAATCAAGATTGGATTTTTAAAAAAATATGTTCTAGTTCAAAAGAAACTATTGTGGGGCAGGCCTCTGGCCTGTGTTATGCAGGAGGTCAGACTAGATGATCACAGTGGTCTAGCCTTGGAATCTACGAATCTAAGTGCATGTTGCTGGCTGAAACTCAAGCGAAAAAGACTGTTTGTTCTCCTCTTCCCTGAAACAACAGCTCCAGCGAAACCTGAGGGATGGCATCTGCAAAGTAACTAAAAACTCCTGACAGAAGCATCCCAATCTGTGACTGGACTGAGACCACCTAGCTTGACCATGCTGTGACTGGGATTTACCGAAGCCACAGTGAAGGTAAAGAAACCTGTCTTTGCTTCCTACACACCCCTAAGATAAGCTTTCAAAGAGACTGAGCGCTGAGTCAGTCCAACTCAGAAACCGCTGCTGGTAAAGACAAACCACCGAAGAAGGTGGGGGGAGACCAAACACACAAACCCAGGGAATGCCGGGGTCAAGTGTAAATCATCACATTTCAAAGAATGGAAGTAACAAAAAATGGGCCTGACAACTCACCAAGCACCTTGCTTTCCATTCCCAGCACCTTCGTTATTAGCAACAGTTTTACAGCAGCACCTCAAGGAGTCAGCCAAGGGCAAGACCCCAGCACATTGGGTGCTGCACAGACCATAGCAAGGCAGTCCCTGCCCCCCAGTATGTCCACTCCAAAGAGATGAGACAGACAGAGGGCAAGAGGAAGGAAGGAAGGGTTATCGCCGTTTTACACATGGGGACGGGGCAAGTTTCCCAGGCTCACACCAAGTGTCTGCAGCAGAGCCAGAAACTGAATCTCAAGCTACTGAGTCCTAGCCCAGGGCTTTAACCACAAGCCCATCTTGCCTCTTGTGAGCTCCTTGGGCCTGGGACAGCACCCAGGACAAGAGGGGGCCTTTGGGCAGCTACCACCATAAAACAGGAGTAGTAATACTGCTGGCTTCAGGCTGAACTGTAAAGCCACCTCCTAACAAAACCCACATACCAACACCCATGCAGCCTACCCTGCCCTGGGGAGAGACGGGCAACAGGAGCTAGGGCTGGGCTCTCTGATTTCTATATAATCGCTGGGAGGGCCTCCAAGACCAGGTGGGTGGATGGATAAGGGGATGACAAAAGGAGAGGAGAAAGAAACTGCTCCCAGCATATTCTCTCTCTCTCTCTCTCTCTCTCACACACACACACACTACCTCTCTCTTTCATGCCTCTTCTCATCTTTCTTCTTTCTCCAGTCACTGGACCTTGCCCAGCTGCCCAGCAGCAGGTTTCACACCCAGGGCCACACATACTACTGAATCCTTCCCCACTATCTTTAGTCTTTAGATCCCAGACCCCAGCTCAAATTCCTGCAAATAGCGTACATAACAGCCTGAGACTCTGCCCTAGGCTTTGCATATCCTGAGACCACCAGGCTACACCAGCTTGGTACCAAAGACAAATGACAAAATGTCGTTTCCACAATAAGTTCCAGTCCAGAGCTGCATCTTCCCTGGCTGTGGGGCAGACCACTCCGGATCTGCATCCAGGATTGCTCAGGTAAGACAATGACAGAGAAATGCCTCAACACCACAGTGACTGGCCTACACAAATACCTGAGACACAACACAGACAGTGGGCAGCGTCTTCCAAGTGCTCAGACACAGGGGCACATAGAGGAAACAGTGGGAACTGTCTGGATGGGAGCTGTGTACCACAAACTCTAACTCAGGGGCGCCTATTCTGAGACACAGAGCAATGGACAGACAGCACTCTGCATGTGTGAGTGAGAGAGAGAGAAAGAGAGAGAGCGCGCTCAGTTCAGGGCCCTGAGCCCTTCACTGCAGTGCAGGTCAGGTACTTACAGACAGGCTCCCCACCAGGGTAACCCAGCTGGTTTCTGATGGCCTCCCATAAATCATAATCTTCAAAAATGAGGGCAAACTCCTCCAAGTCTTCGTAGCCGACCGCGTTGTGGATGCAGCTGCCTATCCCCACCTCTGGGATGTCACCCCCTCCTGCCTCCTCTCCATCATGAATGGCCGTCATTGTGTCCTTGGCAAGGTCAGGGGTCAAGGCTCATGAGCTATGCACCACACTTGCAAGACCAGAGTTTGGTGTCGTTTATCTGAGTTCCAGAAGACAAGCTGCCCAGCAAGGTCCCTGCTCTGGATGATCTGTCAGGATTTTCGTAGCACCATGGAGACCACCATGCCCTCACTGTTTGGGTCCCCCTCGGCTGGGGGAAGGCATGTGATGCTGGTGGCAGCAGCCCTAGGGACTGATGAGCTCCTGGAAAGAAAGGTTCCACTAGGGGAGGTTTCCTGCGGGAAAGGCTGTAATGCAGGGCTTTCTCCACTCGCTCCCTGGGCCAAGGGGCTCTTCATCAGCAGAGGAGTTTCCTGCTGGAGGGCCAGAGACCCTGTGCATGTGAAGCACTCCCTGCTCCTCTCCCGCTCTCCCCCCTTTGGTGACTCGCTCCCTCCCTCTCCAGCCTGGAAAGCAGCCTATTGAATTCTCCATGTCCTCAGGCCCAGAGCATGCATTTCCATGACGTCTCTTCCATCTGCTCTCACATACGCACAGGGGCAGATCCCAGGACACAGGCTGCACCCAAAGGACCCCAGGTACCTCTCTAAACAACAGGAAACACAAGTCACAGGTCCCAGCTGGGCAACAATTATCCAATGATTCTGGGCTTGAGCTCCCTCAGAGTCACTTCAGCGGGGGTTTCTCCCTTTCTCAGATAGGACAGCTCCTCCCACATGGCTGCTGCACTACCGGCACTCTCCTGGCAAGCAAAGACACTGCTAGCTGGGAAAGTATGTCAGGAGGAGAGGGCTGGAACTAAGGGATGCATGGAGCCCTAAAATCAAGAGGGTAACAGGATGGAGGTGAAAAAAGGCACAGAGCCAAGGGGTGGGAGGTGAGGAAAGGCTTGGAGCTACATGAGGGAGTCCGAACTGAGGGCATAAGTAGAGCGGAAGGGGGGAGTCCGAGGCAGAGCAGCAGGGGGCTGCGGGTTGGGATTGAAGGACACTAGCGGAGCTGTGGGAAGGGGTAAGAGAGCCCAGGACTGCAGGGCAGGATAGAAGAGCATCAGCAGAGCGGAAGGGAGAAGCCCAGGGCTGGAATAGCAGGAAGGGTGCCGCAGGTAAGGATGGAGGCCTAATGGGGAAGAAGTGCTAGCTGAGGTCTCTTATTCCAGGACAGTAAGTGACTGTTAAGAGGGTGGTGCCTGCGAATGCAGTGAATGGTCTCCAGACAAAGCTGCAAGAAGTGTTTAGACTCGAGACTGTCTAAACCGATAGGTCAGAGGCACATCTAGTAACTAGGGCCCTGGGTCTCTCTCCAAGGTCCCCTGTATTCCACACCAGGAGGGGACAGCTCCCTGTGTGACAATGAGAATGGTTCTATAGACCCCAAAACACTTTACAAACTCACCAAACTGATACAAGCTCCCCAGGAATCACCCAACCTCGCTGAAAGGCAGCCTCGACTCACGGTGGGGAGAAGGGGAGGGCAAAGCACAGGGACATCACACACCAGCAGGGGAGCTGGGATCATTTTTATAGCAGGGGTGCTGAAAGCGGCAACCATATATTTGGGTATTACTACAGTCAAGCCAGGGGGTGCTGCCACACCCTCATCATCCCTAGTCCCAGCACCCCTGCACACCAGGTTCAGACAGGAAGTGAAGCAAAATCCTGTCACTAAAGGAAACTCTTGGCGGTATCTAGGGAGGCAGACTGCAATTCCCCCAGGTGGAATTGGGTCAGGCCAAGGGTGCTAAAACCGCACCCCTGCTACAAGGACCCTGAGGTCTGTCGCGACTCACTATGAACTGCCAGGACTTTGGTTCAACTTTTCAACCAAAATTCAGCACAGCGCTGGGAAAACAACAAGGGACATGTTTCCTGGCCCCTGCACCCAAGGAATGGGAGGACTAACCACCAGGCTTAGCTCCCAGGGGGAGGGCAGAGTCTTAGGGATGACACAAAGTGGGGAGGGAAGGTATGACTGGGTTACTCAGACCTTACAACCAAGAGGATGGGCCTGGGGGTAAAGGCCCAGGCCTGATGCCGAGGGGGATGGGCCGGGGGG